CTAGGCCAGAAAGGGCAAAGTGACCCAAGTGCACAGGCACATGCCCTCAATTTTCACACAGTGCTATTTCCAAGTAGGGAGGCTACCTGTCCCTCTGAGGTTTTGCACCTCTGGAAATTCCCACCCCCTAACCTAACAAAAGCCCCAAGCCTCATCATTTTGGCACATTTGGGTCCCTAACCTCTCTCTGTCCACCCCTTTCTGAGCTGCACCTCCTTTCCTCTCACCTCTTCCTGGCTTACTGAAATTCCTATCTCTGCCTTGCTGTGCTTCTGCTTTTGTCCTGCACAGATTGTCTAATCTTAGGCATTATACGGATTAATATTTGGGTTGTTTTTATTCTTGGCTATAATGCTGCTACATATATTCATGGACAAATTTTTGTGTAGGCATGTTTTCACTTCTCTTGGGTTTGTACTTTGATGTGGGACTGTTGGGTTATTTGGTACTCTATGTTTAGCCTTTTGAGGAACTGTCAAAAGTGCATGCATCATTTATATTCTTATTTGAAATCTTAAATTTCTCCACTTTTTTTTTTTTTAAAGAAATGAGGTCTGCCGGGTTTCTGTTCTGGAGACTAAAAGGCTCAGGGGTCACTCCAGGTAAACTGGGCTGACTGGGCTGTGCAAAATAACCACACAAGAGACACAAATACCTTTTTCTTTGGGGTCGCTGTGACGGCTCCTCTGACCTTAAGGGTCCCTGGGAAGAGAGAGAGTGAGAGCACGCGCTGACCCCTTTTATTGAGGAGAAGCTATTCAAATGAGGCAAGGGGTCAGGTTTCAGGGGGCTGAGTCTATCTTCATGATGTCCACTGTCAGCGGGTTGACTGACACCTGGGTAGGCCACACCCAAGGGCACAGTAAGAGGAGGGGACACACTCAAGGCACTTCCATGGAAGATTCTATCCTAAACAGGGAAAGGGGTAATATCACAAAGGAACAGGTGAGCGTAGCTTCACCCATGGGGTTGTAGGAAGACACACCCATGCACGAGACACCATCCCTCGAACCCAAGAAGGGTGGGGGAAGCTCTGCCACATTTCTGTGACTGAGCATCTCAGCACCCAGTCGGGGAGTGTGACCCAGTCAGTGCAAGGTTGGTCTCCCACAGAGGTCTTTTTGCTCTGTTGCCCAGTCTGACCTGAAACTCCTGGATTCTAGTGATCCTTCTGCCTTAGCCTCCTAGTTAGCTGTATTATAGGTGCTGACCAGTA